GTCACTGAGGAATATAAGGCCCTGTGAGGTCCCAGTGGTGTTGTCAACAGCAGAGATGGAGAAGTGGGCACTGAAGGACATATAGAAGACCCACAGGAAGAGAAGGGACCTCATGCTGTCCTGTGGGGACTTAGGGTTAAACTTTGCCAAGCAGGAGCTTCTGGGGCTGAGGGTGAGGGCCTGCAGGACACTCAGCAGGCAGGTGGCAGAAATGGACAGGCCCCTCATCAACTTGTACAAGTAGGCAAAAGATTTACATGTGACATCACCCCAAAGCCCCCCCTGAGATGTAAAAGTGTCTGCAGCTATGAACCCCATGGTGAGGAGCATCAGGAGGTGGGTTAGGGCCAAGAGTCCGATGATACAGTCTGTGTTCTTGAGCCTCTTGTCACACAGGAACTTGATGACGTGGAACAGAAAGAGGATGGTGTTGGCCAAGATCCCAATTCCCACTTCAGAGTAAAAGGTGCTTCTTAGGTTAATAATGCCATGCACCATGTGGTTTTCTCTCATCTTTTGGGGTAAGATTTATGTAGTTCATGTCTTAGGAGAAAAGTAAGAAAATTCATCATCACAAATATTAAATTTCATCCATCTCAGCCAACACTGTTGCCAGGAGGAAAATTTGCTGGCCTATCCCAATGCCCCCTGTCCCCTCTAACTGGAGTTTTGCTGACGCACCCTGGAAACTGTTCTTTCCTCTCTCTTTTTCCATTATTTCCCAATCATGGCTGGATTACATTTTATGCAAAGTACAAAAGGATTTCCTGAGCATTAAAAATGATCACATCTGTCCTATATTTCTCATTCACAAGTTATAGAAAATCTTTCCCTGATGCAACCTTGAATTATTCTTGGAGATATCTGACTGCAAGGGTGGAGTATGTGTCCCTCCTGTAGTAAGGACTATGTACTTTTGGGTCAATTGAAATTATGGGGATTTAATTAGGAAGAAAACCCTCCTAAGCAAAGAGTCTCAATGTCTTAGGCCATGCATATTTACGTTAGCTTCCTGTTACCTTTATTCTGGTTTGTTCATGAAGACATGTGATTTTGTTTATATATTCACAGAGAAAATGCTAAGTATTAAAACCTCTGAAGTCAGACGACTTGAATATACCTATGTTATCTTCCACTTAAAGGATAAGTATTCAACTTTGAGAATCCCATGAGCCTGGGCTCTGGGCTTGACTCATCTATAAGTTGAACAAAACCTCATCGTTTATGTACATGAGATCCCGTGCATGAAACAGGATGGAGCACGTTTGCCATACAGGGAAGGCTTGCTGTGCAGAAGGATCTCTGTGGAATTGTTCTTTTTTTTAGACTTCTGCAGATCCTCATTCATAGAAATAAACTAATAGTTGATCATCTCTATCACCAACTCAGAGAGGCTAAAAAATTACCAGAATTACAATCTGTTGGGAATCTCTGTTCAGAGAAAACTGAGTGGATTTTAGGACTATTTGATACCCCTATACAGTTACCTATGTTAAGTATTTTTGTTACTGAATCACAATTTGACCTACGTGATCCAAGTCCAGTGTCAAATACTAGCAGAAACACATTTCAATATTTATCTACTTAAATATGGGTAGCCAGGCATGGTGTCACACTCCTGTAATCCAGCAATTTTGGAAGCTGAGGACTGTGAGTTCAGTGCCAGCCACAGCAATTGTGATACACTTAGCAACTCAGTGAGACCCTGTCTATAAATAAAATAGGGCTAGGGATGGGGCTTGCTTGTTCAATGTCCCTGAGTTCAAGCCCCAGTACCAAAAAAAAAAACAACAACAAAAAAACACACAATTAAAAAAACCACCTTAAATACGTGGAATCATCGTGGTAAACAAAACCATAATTAAAATAGATACACATTCACTCCACTAGAGGAATTTATTACAGTGTAAGTATCCAACCTAACTTTGAAATATGAGTCTTTTTGGAGTCAAAGTTTTCTGTCTTCCTTCAAGAATGTAATGGCATTTCTCCTGACTCAAGGGGTCCACATGTAAAATTGATACTTGGGTTTATTATATTGATGCCTCACACATACCAGGTACATTTTCTACTACTGAACTACATCTCCAGCTCTAATTCTAGAGAATTTTATAATGACTTACTGGCAGAATATTTTCCTGGAAAACATATATATTTACTTTAACCCAAGCATCTCCTGTAAGTAATAAATGAGATTTAATTTGTGTTTTCACATACTGAGCCATAATAACACCTGAATACAAAGTCTTAAAGCTAAATTAGTTCATGAGGCTATGGATGTAAGAGACACTAAGGAAATCCCAGCTACTCAGGAGGCAGAGACAGGAGGATGTCAAGTTCAAGGCCAGCTAGCAAATTGGTGAGACCCTGTCTCAAAATAATAAATTAAAATTGGGCTAGGAATGTACCTCATTGGTGAAGAGCCCTGGGTTCAATACCTGGTAGAAAAACCAAAAGTGCTAAGGAAATCTGACATGTTAAAGATGAGTGAACATTGGGCACCATGTGAGAATTCAGAGTTTAATGTACAGGTTTCATTTAAACATTGAAATGCAGATCTAATTTTTAAAAAATTTTAACCTTTAGCTGACATAATACCTGGACTTAGGGAGTCTCGTATTAGAAATCAACACATGTTGACATTGCTTGCTGAACACATGGGGGAATTAACATTTTGATTTTCTCAAATTGTATGATTTCTAAGTGTGCAGAGTCTCAAAACCCTGATTTGGTCACATGTAATCACCTGATGCAGACTCTGGTGACCACATTGAGCTACAGACATGAGAACTGCTGACCCCAGCCCTGCAGCTGTGCCCAGATGCCCCTCACCCCTCCTCTGAATCCTCCTTCCCCTACCCCTTCCCATATTCTGCTGAGCTGCACTGCTTTGTGGGCAACAGGTTTACATTCCCTACATGAGTGAGGACATGCAGTAATTGACTGAAAGGACAATTCTATAAAAAAAATTAGGGTAAAAAGTCCAATTTTTCTGAAATGGGGTGAACAGGCAAAATGACAATTTTATTTTTTCGCTCATTAGCATATTTGGTCTGCTCCAAGGACAAGCTTGGGAAAGACACTAGAAGTATTTTACATAAGGGCACATCTGTTAGATGTTTCATGGATCACAGATGATCACATGTGCATGGCCCTGTTATTCTATGATGTCCTTATACGTAAAACTGATGCACATCTCTTCTCATATACCTTTTTATTTTAAGGTAATATATGTACTGGTGAATATTTACAGTATGTCTTTACAATATGTATATTAAACATTCTTTCTGTGAATTGAAAACATTTAAATAAAGCTCAGAGTTCCTAGGGTTCTATCTATCTGTCTGTCTGTCTGTCTATCTATCTATCTATCTATCTATCTATCACCTATCTACCTGTCTATATCTATACATATATAATCATTTATTTACAACATTCTACAATAAAAATCTAAAATGATAGTGCTGAAGTTGCATTCTTTTATGCCATTTCTGGAAAATGGAGACTTTTATTAATTATGTCTAATTGATTTGAAAAAAATGGGGCCACTCAAATACCTACCATTATAAAATGTATAGTAACATTTTAATCATCTGTACATCTGAGAATTAGATAAAGTTATTTTCAGTGTTACTTAAAAATCTATTCGTGCAAAAGGTAGACATTTTGGAGAAAGCATGGATGAGAAGAAGCCATGAAGTTCCCGTACCGTGCAGAAATTAAGACCTCAGTTCATTGTTGCTTTAAAATGACCAGAAACTCTTATTTTTTTCTGAAAGTGAAATTCCAGTATGGTAGCAAGAAAAAGAAATCTCCTTTCTCCCAGTGCATATGAGAGTAAGTGAACACACTAACTGCAAAAACTAACTGTGCAGAAGAAGGAGAGATCACATGTTTCTAGAGTTATCCAGCTGTGTCCCTATTTTTTTTTTTGGTTCCAGGGTTTGTAGCTATGGGTACGTGATCATTGACCAACATTTTCAGTCCACTCCACCTCTTTTTAAAATTTAGAGACAGGGTTGTGTCTAAGATGCTTAGGGCCTTTCTAGACTGCTGAGGCTGGCTTTGAAATTATGCTTCTGCCTCAACATTGCCCCTGGAATTATAGTCATGCACAACTGAGCCCAGCTTCTGTCCAAAGTTTAGATCACATACTGATGTATTCATTTATCATATGCATCAGACACATAGGCCTTATTCACTTAAATATTATAAGATATGTGATTGTTCTAAAGGTAAGTATACAGCTATGTCTGTGTTTATGTCTCTTTTATATTATAAAGCATTCTGATGATCAGGAGCCCTTCATAATACAAGCTAAAATAAATCACCGGGCATGTCCTCTCCCAGCCATGAGTCCTGGCACTCAGCACAGAAGAGACTAGAGGTTCAGGGACAAGATGAAAACTTCTTACCCCACTGCAATGTGTTCAAGGGGCCTCCTCAACTAAGGCTTTTAACATAGTGATGGTACTTGGAAACATACTGTTTGAAGCAAAAACTATCATTTTTTTAAACAAGAGAAAGCAAACTATCCAAAAAAATACTGGACAGTCCACAGAGGGGGACATAAATCACAGGGAAAGTAACATGGGTTGGGCATGGTGGTGCACATCTGTAATCCCCACAGCATGGGAGTCTGAGGCAAGAGAATTGCATTTTTGAGACTAGCCTCAGCAACTTAGTGAGGACCTAAGCCTAATAGCAAGACCCTGTCTCTAAAAAAAATATTAAAAGACTAGGGATGTGGCTCAGTGGTTAAGCACCCCTGGGTTCAAACCTTGGTACCAAAATAATAATAATAATAACAACAACAACATCAGCAACAGAGGGACATAATTTGTTTTGTCTTTTCCATGTACTTAAGCACACCCCCCCCTGCTCACACCACCTACTGTATGTTAACTAAAGATGAACAATTGAGTTCTGGGAGGGCGGCTGGTCCTGCTTCATGTCAATTTGGGACTGAGGGGAAATTGGGCAGCCAGCTGTACTTTGCATCACAGTTCTAGCTGGGAAACTATGAAGAGCACTAGGGAGAAACAGTTTGCACATCGGGGAGAGCACAACCACACCCAGCCAGGTGCTATGCTGGGTGAAAAGCCACTGTGAAATGTGCAAGCTACAGGAATATGAAGGAGAAAATCCTGTAGAGTATTTGGATAAATGAATGATGGCCATTGCTGAAAAATCTGGTTGATGATCATCCATTGTTTCCATAAATTGGAAAGATTTCAGTAAAGCTCAGGGTTCCCAGCTGCAACCACACAATAACAATAGCTTGAAATCTGTCTTCAGGTTCAGTATAAGGAAAGTTACTTTTCTAACAGCAACAAGAAACTCCAAAGGAGCTTCATCACAGACACTAAGCTGTCCTTACTGGGAAACCCAAACATACCTGCAGGAGGATCTTTTTCCCTGATGAAGTCAATAATGACGTGAGTCACGTTCAATTTGGTTAAAAAAGAAGAAAAGGGGGTAGGTTCACATTTGTTCTGTAACTGAATTTGCATGAAAATATGAACTTAAAAACTAAATGTGAGCACAGACACCTGAACAGAATGAGGATCAACTTTTCCCAATATTCTCCTTAACAAAATGCCAATCAGACTCAACCATTATGTGGGAAATGGGAAGGAGGATTTTAAAATGAATAATAAAAAGAGCCCAGATGAATGGACCATATGTTCTTCCTGCTCAACTATTGAAAATTATATTCCCAGATCTTCAGGGGGTAAGGAAAAGGAAACCACTATCAGGGTCACTTGTCTTTTCATGTGAAGGTGACAGAGGACCACTGCCCTCTCACTCGAAATTGGCTACTGGGCAGAACACCTAATCTGGAGAGACACCATTCATTTTTAATTTGTGAGATGAAATGTAGGACAAGGAAGATTTCATGAGAAATTACAACACATTGTTGTGGTAATATAAGGTCACTCCTGTTACTTTCAGGTTTATGTAAAATTACTTTTTCATTCCTGAAAATTTAGAAAGACGCATATCAAGGAGCATTCCATTTTTTTTTTCAGGAAGATGAGAGAAGCCAAACTGAGCATACTTAATAAAAAGGAGACAGGGAACATGATTACTTCTCTGATTATTTGTATAGGACTAAATATCATAGAAAACAGGAGCTAGCACAGATAGCATATGCAACTGTCCAGAGAAAATTAAATAGGAACCCGATATAGTGGAAATTTCTTAAGGAAAACAAGGAGTAATTTTCTAAGTGTCAAAACTAAAGAATGACACATCCTAGGAAGATTTCCTTCATTGCTTCTCAAAGAGCACCATTGTCTGGCTGAGTGCTGTGGTTAATGCTGGAGGGTTCTTCTAAAGCTACCCAGACCCTCACTAGGAGACCCAGTTTGTCCCTTCCTCCATCCTCCTAGAAGCCCATGTACTCACAGCCTACATCCAGGGAAACAGAGAAGAGCTTGGCTGGATGGATGCTGGCCACTTGGTGCACCTGAGAATAACCTGCACACTTTTAAGGAAAAGGTGTGGTGAGCTCATCTCTCTGTAGCCTGTCATTTGAGTGTCTATAGTTAGATGACAGGGTCCCCCTGGGGAACACAGGACGATGGAGTCCCCCAGTGGAACGTTTCACTTGCCCCTTGATTGGATTCTGTTCTGGATAATAGCCATCTGGGGAGAGGTGTGCTCAAAATTTCCTCCAAGTTCCTTTAACAAAAAAATGTCTGTCCCAATCATGTGGAAACTCCAAGTTCTTTCACTTCCATCCAAAGTTCAAATTAGCCCATACCCATTCCACATGTCGTGATGCCTGGATTCTGGGGAGAGTCTCCTCGTGCCTCCTGTGGCTCTGAAGGTCCTCTCTCTGCAATATCTGATAGGCACCCTCTTCCCTCACTCCATTCTCACGTTTATCACCTGAGTTTTTGACGTTACTGCTCATGTGCACCAGGACTTCCATACTGAAGATTTCAGGATCCAAGCTGTAGCATCTCACGAAAGTGCACTTGAAAGGAAATAGAAAAACAGAAACAGAGCTGAAAACTGTGAGCTGCAGTCATAGTAGCAGATGGAACATCTTTGAATGCATGGGCTCTCTCGTCCACAGAGGAGGTCCACAGAACAGGGTGTAGAGGAGAGAGTGGCTGCAGGGTCACTAATCAAGACCTCCAGAGAAAGCAGGTCTGATTTTATTGCACAGTGTGTGTGTGTGTGTATGTGTGTGTGTGTGTGTGTGTGTGTGTGTGTGTGTGTGTGTGTGTATATATATATATATATATATATATATATATATATATATATATGTTCAAGCAGTAGTTTAGCAGATTATAGGCAACCAATACAATTTCTGGCCAACTATCCTTACAGAGACCAATCAAGGATTGGGCCATGGAGCAAGTGCAAGGCTATAATATATACCCTCACACCCAGGGCTATTCCTATGGGGTAAGGGGTTTGCCACTCACTCACCTAGCACGGGGGAGTGGCCTGCCACTCAGATGCCCTTAACATATGCCATGTATGCAGTACTCCATGCACTTGTCCCCACATCTCCCCCCCTCTGACTGTGCTGCAAGGATTTCAGCCAGCATTGCTGTTTTCCATTCCCCAGCCTTCGCAGGATTACATAAATGTCACACAACACAAGAAAATATTATCACTATTATAAACAGAAGGGCCAGGGTGATAGCATTATACGGCTTAGTTAATTTGGCTATCAGGCTTTTCCAATGTTCAGTCAATCCCTGGAGGAAAGAGGAGGTTGTCAAGATAGACACCTTCATCTCATCGGTTTTGACATTTCCCTTGGTAAGGTTATGCATGGTCATAACATAGTCAGGATCCCAAGCCCCCTTAATATACTGAGAAAAATGAGAGAGTTGTAAGGTTACATTTTCAGACTCAGCATATTGGGTGACACAAATGCTATGGAATTCGGGGTCCCAAGTGAGATATGCAACATAAACAGAATATCTAGTTGTTCCTGGTGGAGGTCTAGTTCTTGCTGAATGACTAAAATAGCAGCTCAGGACAGTTTATTTAGGTCATTTTGAATGGCAAGGGCTTCTGCTATGGCAGTAGACACCTTGTTCACAGTCTGAGCCATCTGGACACTCAGAGTGAGCTAAGCAGTGACAGTGGCTGTGGTGGCCATGGTGGCTACCAGGGCAATAATCCCAGCTATGAGGAGGCTAATTGCACGCCTTGTCCAGTGCAGGATCTCCTTCAGAAGGTTCTTCATCTCCATGTCCCAAGGACCCCTCCACTCTCTGGACAGTTTCGCTGGAAGCCAGATTGCTGGAGACACTCTAAGGATAAATATAATTTTAGTTTTCATAGCAGGAGTTAGACAATTTGTAAGCCAGAAGGATGTATTGACTGCACAAGAGATCTCTGTATGATCGATATTTATGTCATCAGTATCATTGATTATTAGCATGGCAAAGGGTGGTGTACACAAGCTTGTGCATCGTGGATACGGGTGTAATTTGGCACAAGGCAAATCCATGGGGTCAGAGTCTGGACTCACTATAGACTTATTCATCCATCCAGCTGCTGCCCATTTGATGCAGCTAGCAATATAGGTGTGATACCCATTATGCCATACTGATTTCCTGCACAACAGTTGGTAACAGCTTGTCCCGTGAAGCAGGTACTGCAGTGGCCCATATGGTTTGGGGGCAATCAGCTACATTCCAGAGAGCTGCACCCACCCAGGTGCATAGATGTTTTTCTTCCCTAGAGAAATTCCTCTTATCAAGGAGATGAGGTATGGCAGTGACACATTGATTCCACGGCATGCTATCATTCTCTGAGGGCAGGCTTTCCAAAAAGCATTGTTGGGCATATTGGCAGCAAGGGTTTCTTGCATTTCCCATGGGGGAGTCTATGGCTATAGGTAGCACTAACTATAACTCTAAGGTCAGTGAGAGATAGCCCAACATATGCCTGATGATAGTTATCTACAATAGTTTCATGGGCAATAGTAAAACAGAGGGGACTGCCTGGATTATAGGATTCATTATCTACTATGGAGAAACAAATGGGCAGAGTTGGTGTGGAAATGCTGACCTTCCAGGGTACGGTCACCTCCTGGATGGATAGCTCAGGATCAGTAAGGTTGGAATTATTAGAGAAGAGCTCAGGTAAAGCCCATTCCCAATTAGCCACTGCTAAAAGTGGTGACCTAGTGACCAAAGCCCAATTTACCTGATGGGAGGCTTGACGTTTGGCAGTGAGCATTGCACACAGTAGGACCACCATCATAGTAGGCTCAGGGCTGGGGTTACCACCAGGCAAAGGGGCCAATCTGGTGGCTTGTTCAACAAGACCTTTAAGATCACCCAGGTTACTTTATCTGCTTGTGTTGTTGAGTTCTTTTATCTGTGAGGTTCCTCCTCCAGAGTTAGATCCTTCATCTTCTTGGTTTGTGGTTCTGAGGGTCCAGGGCTTGACTTTCTGGAAGACATACAGATGGGGTGAGGCTCCTGTTAACATATGCAAACCCTTGACCCTTGGTTATGCGGGGCCCTGGACCATGCCATGCATTTGTGATGGGATCCTTCCATGAGACCGTAGGTAGATGGGAGGGCCCCGTGATGGAGGCCCTATGTTAATGGGCTTCTGTTTCCATAGAAAATTTTTGAAATTGAAAGAAAATTTAAAGCAAATAAGGTTTTGTTCAAGACATCGAGAGAGGGGACTTGGTATAGTTTGCCCTCTCCGGCTTAGAGCAGGGTCTGTAAGTCCTTTCTGTGATGTCTTGAGCCTGTGGGTTGTAGGGGATCCAAGTTAAGTGCTGTTTATGCTGATCATCCCCAACCCCCTGAAATGTCTTGCTAGTAATACAGGCTGTCCCATTGTCAGTTTAAGTAGACATGGGAACACCCATAATTCAGAACATTTTAATAAGTGGGAGATGACCTTTATTGTGGTTTCTCCTGTGGGGACTGTGGCCATCACACAACATTAACAGATATCAATGATTACATGAATCTATTTTAAATTTCCAAAAGAGGCAAAATGAGTGACATCTCTTTGCCATAAAGCATT